TTATTTCTGCATTGAATCTCTCCATTCAAATCATGCCGCATACCGGTCTCTTGGTCTCGGTAGATGTCTTTATCAAATTCTTCCATCTCTTCGCCATTCAGTGTTATCTCGGTCTTCGGCAGGGCATCTTGCTCTCTGAGGATAGGTCCTCCATAGTCAGAGTTCTGAACGTTTTTTCTCGAGCTCTTGCAAAATGGCTTGTATCTGACAATGGTTTTCAGAAAACTACATCACAGCATCATCGAAGCTTTTGTGGCCGAGCTGTTCACCATTTATGCTAATCCCACCATCCCTTTAAGTTTACCATCCGGAACACCATTTCCAAATAGGCTATGAAGATGTTGGAGAAGATAGTGTCCCATGTTTCACGTCCTTCTTTACGGGAATCCACATCGGGTATCGAACAGCCTGATGTTTACTAAGCAGCCAGAGTTCGCTTCCTGTAACAGGTGGTGTAACCGGTGATGATGCTGTGTTCTGCCTATGCAGTCCGCAGATCATTGTACTCGACAGCGTCGAACGCTTTCTCGTTCGTTGTCGACGACGGCGATGAACAGAGGGATCTGGTATTTCCTCGCGCACGCGCTCGAGGAGTTGACTTATGGCAAAGATGTTATCCCTTGTACCGGTGCTCTTTCGGAATCCTGTCTTTTTTCTTGTTGTTGTTTGTCCATGCTTGTTGACAGTCTTTGGTGATGATCTTAGTGAACAGCTCGTCGACTCGTAACAGCAGGCAGATTGGGCGATAGTCTTTCTGATCTACTTTGTCGCTCTTCTTAAAAGACACGACTGTTTTTGACTGACTCCTTACGGCTTGATGGTATCTTTGCCATTTCCAAGCAGCAGCTAAACCTCTCCGCTAGAACCCTTCACAGCGTCTGACGACCCGCCCTCATAATTTAATTTTTCAGACCGTCTCTCCTTAGTGCTCGTCATTCCTTCATTTCATACGCGGCATGACGAAATTCGCTTGTCTGTGTCGGGAGTGCACTTCCTTTTGGCGTTCCTCAGAGTGATAGTGAGGGGGGGCGCAAGTCTTTGACGTAAAACTCTGCATGCGAAAGTTGTTACAGATAGAGTGCATCTCAAGTCTCTCAAATGTTAATGTGCCATGCACGATCTTCAACGCCGTGATGGTCGACTGATCAAGAGCCACCTCTCTCCCGCATTTTTTAAGGTTCTGAGGTCTTTGGATATTTTGTGTAATTTTAGCCGTCGGAAAGTCTCGAAGTCCATCTTCAGTCTTCCTTCTAATGAGATTGCAGATAAAAGAGTAATTCACCGTGTCAGGCCAGTTTCTTTTCATCCTCCTTCGCTTCTCTAGCAAACACTTTGTCTCTCTGAGATACTTCCTTTCGTTCCTCTTGATGTTACCACCTCAGCCGACTTTAGGCAGTACCTCAGTTTCTCGGCGAACTTCTCGCAATCGTCGTCGCAGCCGTCGTTTATCCTCCAGTTGTCGCTGGAGATGAGTGCATTCAGCATCGCCTCGTCAGATACCTTGGTCGATGTCTGCGATTGGCCATCTGCAGTGCCTTTCTCTCGATCTTCTCCTCGAAGATTAGCCTAGCCTCCACTGGTCTTTGGTCACTGTCGGTGTTGAACGATGGCACTGATGCTATGTTTTGGATGATGCGGCGTTTATCGAACAGATGCAAGTCGATCTCGTCCTTCGCCTGCGCTTTGTGTGCGATCCATCTCTACCTCTTCTTAGTGTTGTTCTTGAAGCTGGTGTTGCCATTGTATACGTGCTTTTGCCGTTTTTCTCACAGTCAGCAGCGATGTCTTACAAATATTATAACGAAGGTGGCAAAATGCAGAAGGATTACGAAAGAATGCAGAAAGAATACAAATTTGACAGATAAGGCAAATGCTGAATATGTAATGCAAAAATTAAAGCTGGCGAATGAGTATGAAGGGTTATCGCGTGAAAACAATAGCCCAATTTCGGTAGAGAAAACGGGAGTCCAATGACACAGTTTTAGGCCAGTTAGAACTAGTGTTCGTAAATTCCAGTCAGTCGGTATCTGTGACCGTTTATCCTCTCGAGTGACGAAAAAAGGTGCGGCATGCGCTGTGTGAAATGTTCCTGATCCTTTACCAGCGTCTGAGCTTCAGCAGAAAAGGACCTAAGCCTCGATCAGAGCCCGTCGCGACGGTTTCCCCACACCATTCTTGGCTCTCCCACGGGTTTTCGGTCGGTCGGTCGGTTGATTGAGTAAGTAGTAGTGGTGTTTTTGAAGGATTTTATGAATGCTACTTCATAGCGAAATGGATTTACATGTTAGGAATGGAAAAAAGGAAATTTGTAACGTTCGGGATGTCGATCTTCCTTGCTTACACCTACATGATTGGCGCTGTTTCTAGTTCCTACTTTTAATGAAGGTTATGAGGCAGAGCTGGTGTCAGTCAGAGTTCTTATTTTAAGTGAAACGTTGAATGTAGCGCAAGTGTATATCATCCTGTTTCATTTTTCACACAGTGGTTTCGGTTTTGTCTCCTCGGTCTGTCGAAAAGTAAACAATTCATTTGAGGCTTGAACTCACGATCTTTTGACGGTCGATACCGATTAAAAAACCTGTTTTTTTGCAAGGCAGTGATCATCATCAGCTTCTGTCAGTGACTAGACGCAGCCTCATTCATTGACTGTTGCCGATGTTTCTGTTTGGCTTCAGGAATGCAGTAGTGCTCGAGGAGAATATGCTTCTACCGACATGATGCCACCGTGTACTTGAATTATTCAGTTCTGCCCCCCCTCTCAGGGCGACGCTGAAGACGTGATGAATCGGAGTATGCGAAGGGCCAACCAGCCAAAGAACAGAGTAACAGGCCGATGGCCTGCGAATCTTTGGTTGCTACGGGAAGTCTTGACTCACAGACTAGCTGAAACCCTTGCGATGGAAACGCTCAAGTAGGGTGAAATGAGGTTGGATGATGATTTTCGCCCTTGAAGGATACAAAGAACGCCCACCGAGTTACCCAACCCATAGCAGGTGGAGGATTGTTTAACCGAGTGAAGTCTCGCAGCCGCATTGATAGTTATTCCCTCCGATACCTCACCTGCTGCTTGGCCGTCTATCTCCTATCACTAAAACGTTTTTCTGCCTAAAAGTTGTTATTCGCATCAGATGTGCACGCTGCTTTAACGGGCTGTGTTCTTCTCTCAGCTTGTTGCGATGAACGATCGCTTAGCGACGCGTGACAAACGCCCCCGTGAGCCAGAAG